CCATAACTCTCCAGATGAATGTTGGGTGTTCAAAAAAAATGCTCTTCAGAGAGAGAAAAAGAGAGAGAGGCTGGAAATAGAACTGTGCTGCTTATTCTATCCCGAACGCAAGCAATCCTGGGGAAGTCATCTGTATGGCCTTGACCACATTTCTATAATTAATACCTACTTAGATTTGCTTTTAAGGAATGATTGTTGTAATCACCCTTTTATGCTTTTCCACCATGAAGATGCTAACAGGCCTTTCTTGGTTTTGCCTCCATTAGGGGAATGTGACCCTGAAGGAGCTGAATGCCCGCCCCATGGAAGTGTTCATGTGCAGTGTGCTCAAGAGGCAAGGCTACGGCGAGGGTTTCCGCTGGCTCTCCCAGTACATTGACTGATGTTTGGACAGTGAAAATAAAAGAGCTTTACTTCTCTGGACTGATCCTATTCACAGCTTCCTCATGAACTTTTCTAATAGAACAAGGAAAGCTCTCCAACCAAGTCTGGCGTTGAGAAGCCAAGAGTCTTTGTCAACTCTCTCATCGCCCAGTGGTGACATGTGCTCTTCTCCACACTGTTGGGAGGTAACGCTGCCCCATGTGCTGGTGCAGGTCAGGGTCCCGGGACTTGGAAACTGGCAGAATTTGCCAGGTAAAACTGTGTGCCATCGTGGGGCACCTGAAAAGAAAAACACGTCTCACCACTGCGGTTGATTTCAAAGAAAGTGATTCTATTTTTTAAAGAAAGTGTTGTTAATGTAATTGGTATCCCTCTTAATTTTTGAGTTCACAATTTACTTGGTCCAGAGTTTTCTATTCTTTTTTTTTTTTTTTTTTTAACTAATGAGTGGTATTTAGATACTTCATAAATTTATGAACAGGTACACATTGGAGGCCATGGCTCAGGTGGGTGAACTTAACTCCTGCTGAGTTAGCAGGTTGGGGAGAGACGCTCCCCTGAGCTCACCTATCTCTGTGACTGCCTTGTAGTAGGTGGCGTCACCTTGTGCACAGAGAACTAGAAAAGGGGCAGAACCCTGGCCTTGCAGTTGCAGGTTTCCGCTGTGGTAAGCTCATCACAGAATGTGTAGTAGAGTGTTCACTGTGGAGGGGTTAATTACAGAGGGAGTTATTGTTATTATTTTTACTTATAAAGTTATAAATTTCAGCCAGTCTTTGCTTTTATACTGTTGTGAAATTTCATTTCTCTATAGCACCTTCTTTTTTCATTTTGAGTTATAAAAAGTGACTTTCACCTCATGAAAGAGTTGAGACCATCTCTCATGTTGTCACATACTGCTGGTGTGTCTCAGTTACTTTTGCACAGATTCTAGGGGGAAATTTTTCTGAATAGGAGGACAAAGGACAAAGTTAACAGCTTAAGGGCTCTTAATTCTGTGAGTTGAGGACTTAAAATTGGTTATTGTAGCACTTGTTTGAATTTAGGAAAGATTTACTCGGTGGGCTTTAAAATTTCCACTTGCAGAATTTAGTCTTGATTTGGCTGTTCATGAACTCTTTTTCTTAAATCTTTTCTCCTTATCAGTTATCTGTTTCATTCATTGGTATTTAAAGTAAAATTTAACATCTGTAGCTTCTCCAGATTTTTTGGGGGGGAAGGGTATAAAATTGCCTTTCTCCATTTTAGAAATAAGTTGGGAAAAACATTAACTCAAAAACTGCCTGTAGAACTGTTCCTTTGGAGGCAGCATCATTTATTGTCAGTGAACACCCAGTGTGAAAGCATCAGCATGTCCACTAGGGTGATGAAGATTATTTTTATAGCGTTCCATTTTCTTAGTGCCATGTGTGAAATTGGATTTTCATGATCTTAACCTATAGTCTACCCTTGTAGTAAAAGATGAGAAGATAGGAGATGGTCTTAACATGAGAGGATATCTTTATTCCTTTAATAAAAGATTAGAGGTAGTTTTCTCAAAATTGAAAATTGTAATGATGCGTATTTGTGGAGGATTGAACGAAATTCAGTGGATTCCTTTTTAGTGTGAGGTAGGGAAACTGTGGATAACATTACTGGGTGAGAGAGTGTCATTCTTTTTAGTTGGATTTCTCATTGTTAGTCATCAGTACTGACCTGTTGGGAAAGCATAGTTTTTCACTGCCAGGTCCTGAATGCAGAGGCTCAGTGACATATATGTTTGGGAAATGCATGCATTTCATTTATTAGCAAGCATAGCTGGATTAAGACAAAATTATTGGTTTGGAAAGGTGTTAAAGCCTTAACTGAAAAAATCTAGCTAACCGTGAATGAACTAGGTAGTTAACTTGCATACCTTTTTATTTCCTCTGGTTAAAAGTTACTCATACTTCTCTGTTCAGAGACATGAGAAGTATGATTGCTTCAGTGTTAGTTTTCTTACTTTTGTTTTTTCCCCTATTTTTCCCTAATCACTTTGTTGCAAGCTAGAAAACTATGGGTTCTACATAGGGCAGCTCTTGTGAAAGTGGTTTATTCCACTGGAGAAAGAGGGGATTGAAAAGTCAATTAGCATCAGTCTATTTCTTGTCCCACAGAACACCATTCTTATAATAAGATAGCTGAAAGAAGCTGCTGTGAGGAGCTTAGCTCCAAACACAGAATCAGAGCCTTGTATGGGAACTCCCATGAGTTGAGACTTTTCATTCTGTTTTATCAGAGTGCATATATGTCCTATTTCAGGAAGAGTAAAACAGTCTTTACAAAAGAAAGTCAATCTGTATTCTAAGCATTTTAATAAAAAGTTAAAACAGACTTGCTGTTTTCTTTCTTTTTTGCATTGGTTTGTTCTGAGTTCTGAGTTTGAACAATGCCATTTGTTTGGGGTTGGGGGCGGGAGGGAGGCAGGGAGACAAAAGTTCTTCCCTACATCTACAAAGAAACTTTCAGGGTGGATGTGAGATACTTGAATTTTGCCACCAGAGGGGGAAAGAGGCTGGGCCATTAGAAGTAATAGATTTAGTACTGTTCGAGAGCCTTGGAAGATGGTGTAGACCCAGGGTTTTTGATCATCTCTGCAACAGGATAATGTGCTTGCAAGGGCTGAGTCTAGTTTAGCTGTGTTTCATGCATTATTTAACACAAAAGTAGAATCAATTGAATGCCACATTTGGTAAAATAGGGGAAGGAATCTGTTCTTTGTGCATTTACTAGGCTTTTAGGAAGACTTGCTTTTAGAAAACGTCAAATGAGATCCCAAAACTAAAGTACTCGGACAAATAGAATGGGCACCAAAATGCAACAGGTTCTTTTCAACCAAGAATTAAATTGTTGGGGGTGTCCTGTCTCTGTTACTGTATAAGGATGCCATGAATTCTACAGGTAAATGAGTTTGTTTTGTTTGAGGCAAAGTGGAACAAGAGGATTAAAGTCGTGAGTCAATGAGCCTAGCACTCAAGGGGTCTCACTTTGGCTGTTGCTGGCTGTGACTTGGGACTTCTGTACTGTGGTCTGCTGTAAATACAGAAAAGCCTGACGCATAACAGTTCATGCTGGAGGCTTGATCATCATTAAGGGAAAATCACTGGGCTCTAGAGAGGAATGAAAGCTTTAATTGCTAAGAAGTTGGGACAGTTAAGAGATAATTGCTGTGATCAAGCCATCTTCTGTGTCACAGAGCCAAAAGAAGACAGTGTCTACTATGGCAAGACTGCTTAATTTCAGTCCTGCCTCATACTGTCACGGATAATCGTTTTCCTTTCTCAAAACAGGTTTGTGTCACTGGGAGCCCTGGGAACATTGTCCACGAGCCCTGGGAACATTGTCCACGTCTTGTGCTGGAGCTACACCAAACAGCATTAATTCAAAGAATTCATGGAATTTAAGTAGCAATTGAATAGTTTTTCATTAATACTAACACAGGTGTGTACTATACTAATCTTAATAAAAAACATATTTTAGTGATACAGCGGTAAAGCAGATCTTTGTAAAATGTCTAGCTTGTGGTGACTGTTTTGGGGTATCACGAAAGCCCCGTACCATACCATACTTGTTCATTCTCTGTCTTAAAGGATACTTTGGAAAAGTCAAGAAAGTTTGGTTAGCCTAAATTACATATGGCAAACTATGGCTTAGGGGCCAAATCCGGCCTGCTGCCTGTGTGTTGTACGGCCTGTGAGCTAAAAGGTTTTTACACTTTTAAATGGTTGAAAAAAATTAAAAATGCTATTTTTGGCACACGAAAATTAAATTTCAATGTCTATAAGGTTTTTTTGGAACACAGCCACTGCCATTCCTTTAGCTTTTGCATGCAACAAATGCAGACTATTTGAAAGATTGTATGGCCCCCAAAACTTGAACTATTTCCATTCTGGCTAGGGTTGTATGATTAAAATTTTTGACTTTAGCTACTGTTCATCATAGTCAATTTAAAGGGCAATTTAATTTAGAGCAAATCCAGTTTTCATGAGATTTGTCATGTTGGGGCTTGGGCAGCAACAAGTCCTGGGAGTAATCCTGAGAGCTCCGTGTCCCCTAGTGGATGGCTGTAGGATTTACTTCCAAAATTTCAAAATACTGACTCGGCCAAGGATTTCCTTGGTCTGGATTGTCCTAGGGGTCAGAGGCTAAAGGTCGCCTAGACCTGGGCAGATGCTAACAGGTCCTGTCATGGCCTGGACAAGTCTAGCCACGTCAGCCCTCATTTCTATTCCCTCTCCAGCAGCCCAACAAACGGGAGAGACTGGGCCGGGACGGACCCGGCCTCCTCTCCCGCTATTCCCTGAGCCGCCTCATGCGGGTCACACACGCCGGGCTCATACCGGGGGCTGCCTGCGCCGTCTGGGTCCCACAGGTGCGACGACCAAAGAGGGCGGGGGAAGGAGTCAGCATCAGCAGCCAATCAGAGTTCGGCAGAAGCCCAGCCAATCGGGTCGGGTCAGTTGGGGCTTAGCCAATCGGGCTCGACGAGGAAGGCCTGAGTCAGTGCTTGCGCCTCCCGCTTCCATCTGTGGGAGGCGCTGCACGGATTCATCTGGGACCTTCGGGGCCGGTCCGGGGCAGTCGCTCGCTGGCTCGCCCGCCCGCTCGCTCGCGGGGAAGCTGCAGGTGTCTGGTCCCGGAGGCCATGGGGCGGCAGTGGGGGCCCGCGATGAGGGCGGCCGAGCAGGCGGGCTGCGTGGTGAGCGCCTCCCGAGCCGGCCAGCCTGAGGCGGGCTCGTGGAGTTGCAGCGGCGTGATCCTGAGCCGCAGCCCGGGCCTGGTGCTGTGCCACGGGGGTATCGTCGCCCCTTTCCTGCGGGCCGGCAGCGGGGCCCTGACCGAAGCTGGCGCTGCCTACCTGCCAGGCGACAGTTGCAGCGACGACCTGCGCCTGCACGTGCAGTGGGGCTCAACGGCCGCGAGTCCCGCCAGCCGTTCGGAGCGGGGCCTCCCGGGGCTGTGCACGCCCCAGTGCGCCGGCCTCGAACCGGGCCCGCCTGCCCGGCCCCGCGGGCGGCCCCTGCAGCCCCCGCGCCCCGCCGAGCTGCTGCTGCTGCTGAGCTGCCCGGCCTTCCGGGCCCACTTCGCGCGCCTCTTCGGGGGCGAGGCGGCCGAGCAGTGGCGCTTCGCGAGCGCAGCGCCGGACGACGAGGTGTCGGAGGACGAGGAGGAGGATCAGTTGAGAGCGCTGGGCTGGTTCGCGCTGCTGAGCTTGCGGCCCGGCCAGGAGGAGGCGGCGGAGGAGCGCGGGCCGGTAGTGGCCGTGGCCCCTCTCGGGGCGGTGCCCAAGGGCGCGCCGCTGCTAGCCTGCGGCTCCCCGTTCGGGGCCTTCTGCCCGGACATCTTCCTCAACACGCTCAGCCGCGGCGTGCTCAGCAACGCGGCCGGCCCGCTGCTGCTCACCGATGCGCGCTGCCTGCCGGGCACCGAGGGCGGCGGCGTGTTCACTGCGCGGCCCGCGGGGGCGCTGGTGGCGCTGGTGGCCGCTCCACTCTGCTGGAAGGCCCGCGAGTGGGTGGGCCTCACGCTGCTCTGCGCCGCCGCCCCGCTCCTCCGCGCCGCCCGCTCGGCGCTTGGCCGTCTGCAAACAGGTGCCGCTGCTCTGGCCGCCCTCCTGCCGCCCGAGGTGGGCGCCCCGTGGGGTCTGCCCCTCCGAGATCCCGGGCCCCTGTGGGCAGCCGCGGCCGTGCTGGTGGAGTGCGGCACCGTATGGGGCTCCGGAGTGGCCATGGCGCCCCGCCTCGTGGTGACCTGCCGGCACGTGGCTCCTCGGGAGGCAACCAGGGTCCTGGTCCGCTCCGCCACCCCCAAGTAAGACCCACAGGGCTGCCCCAACTCTACCCTTACCAGGTCTCAGGTCTGGATCCAGGCCTTCCACTCTGAGGATTGTGTAGGCCTTTCTTCTAGTGTCATGCTGATGCTTTGGGCGTGTAGTGTGGGTGGAGACCTGGAACCCTCCCCTCATCCTTTACACACAGAACCCCCGTGGGGGGATTAAGGGAGCTGGGGCAAGATGCTAAGCTCCGAGCAACTCTGGATTTGGCAGCTGGAAGGCTCCCTGCATCCGGCACTGGACGTCTTTGAGCTCCCCTCACAGTCTGAATTCCTTCTAGGCAGCTTCTCTGTCTCATAACCCTGTGGCCCACACCCCACTGTTATCTGGTCCCTTGAACAGAACTTCCTTCACCCTACCTGCTTCTCCCCTGAAAGTGGTGAAGTCCCAGGGGCCCAGGACTGCCCTCCTGGGGTAACGAGATGGGCCTGTTAATCAATTTATCTTTTAGAGCATAGCCAGAGCATCCTTTCTGGATGAAAATTACAGGTGTTGGGTGGATTCCTCCTAATTAGAATATAGCAGTGGGCTGATCCTGGTGGGCAGCCAGGTTGGGATGTCTGACAGTCATTTGTTCCCTCTGCTGAGAAAAGCACCCTTGCCCTCCTGTACTTCCACTTGCTCTGATGGTGGGGACAGTGGCCTTGACTTCCTGGCTTGGTTTTCTAGTACCTGTTCTGTTTCCCCTGCAGCCCTAAGTGCTTAACTCAGGCCAGAGCAAAGTAGTGAGGCACCTTGGTGTTAATGCTAACCCGGCCTTGCAGCCCAGGCCTTTCCAACTCTCTTTCCTGAATCCCTGAGGTTAGCCCAGTGTGGCTAAACCAGTCCGGCTTTGCCATAGAGGTCCCCACTGGCAGCCTGCAGGACAGCCATGATTTTCTAGGGAAGGCTAATGATGAGGATTTCCCTGTGTTTTGTCTCCCAGATTCCTCCCCCTTCCCCCTGACCTGACTCCTAAGGAAACCACCAGGTCTGCTGGAAGGCACTCCTACAGAGCATGTAGTAGGACACCCCTGTGTGATCTTGGGCAAGTCACTTAATCCGTGTAAGCCACCTCCCCCCGAGTTGACACGTAAGTCTTGGAACAGAGCCTGCACGGAGTGTGCTACAGAAGTGCTAACATCGATGTAGGGGTGAAAACACATCTTGTCTCTCCTACCAACTGATGGGATTGTTGAGGGTATCAATGAGGCAGTGAAGAAATGTGCTGGTATGTTTGCCCTGGCTCCTTCCAGTTGCTCTGTGACCTTGGGAAAGTAGCTCTACCTCTCTGGGCCTCAGTTGCACCATCTAAAATGGAGGTAATACCATTGCCTAGCACATAGGGTCGTGAGGATTAAATGAAGCTATGTCCACAAAGCATTAACTTCGGGCCTGGGCTGCAGTGCTCATTAAGTGTCAGGTGTCTATTATCATGGTGAGGTACAAGAAGCTTTACCTAGAGGTACTCCACAGTTTGTAAATCACGTTTGGAGATGCCACAGAATGGTTAGGTGACTTGCCCAATGTTGCCTGACTGGTAGGTTTCAGGGCCGACACCCAATCTTCTAACTCCAAGTCCAGGACGTTTACTGTCACTCAGCTCTGGATTTCTCCCAAGCGCAAAAAGGTCTAGCTTGTCATTTGTCTCACTCGTTCCTAGGAATGCGGTGATCTGGGGACATGTGGTGTTTGCCACCCAGGAGACATCTCCCTATGACATAGCGGTAGTGAGCCTGGAGGAGGACCTGGACGACGTCCCCATGCCTGTGTCCGCTGAGCACTTTCATGAAGGTAGAGGACAAAGGGCACATCCTGAAGGAGGGCCTCTCTGGTCCAGGGTGGTCCTTGGGAAGGAGAATCAGTGCTGGGCACTCTAAGCATGCCGGACTCCCTGCCCCACCCGCGCTGAATTAAGGACGCAGGGTGGCATTGGTCAAGGTTCTTCCTGGGGGCTTCTCTGCTTGTGCCAACATCCCCAAGGAGCTGGGGCAGGTGGAGTACCTGTGAAGGGTGAGGCCCCTTCCCTGAGTGCCTGCAGTAGTGTAGTGTGGGGGTGTTGGACCTTGGGGGCTCCTTCTAACACCTAAAGCTGGTCAGAGGTGTGTGGCACCTTGGAGGCTCCAGGGGCTGGATTTGAGTGACAGGCTTAGTGATGCTGCCACACAAGTACTGGATGTCCCACTTCGTGGAGGTAGTGTGACATGGCGATGAAGAATACAGGCACTCTGGATTGACATCTTTCCTCTGCCACTTACTAGCCCTGGGTCCTTGGACAGACCTGTTCTCTGCCTCAGTTTCCTCATCCGTAAAATGGGGGTAACGTGCATTTGACTGGCTGAGATGCTGTCTGTAAAGCACTTAGCCGCGTGCTCTGCCCTGTGCACTTAAAGCACTTGGGAAAGGAGAGTGGTGGTTGCTTTATAGGCAGGATCACCGTTTCTTCTCACCCAGAGTCTTCTTAGGAGTCCCAGGAGGAGATGGATGTTAATTCCACACACATTCACTGAGCACTTAGCTAGGTGCTAGGGACCCCAAAAAGTGACTGCCCAGTCTGGCAGGGGAAGGAGGAGTGAGGAACAGCTGGTGCTCAGAAGTAGGTGAACGCGTACCGTGCTAGGAGCTCAGTGGACTTCCCAGCCTCTTCCTGCCGGGGGCCTGATTAAGGCTCCATGGAGTGGGGAGTCTCTGAGCTGAAGCGCCAAGGGCAGAGGGAATTTGGACCTTCGGAGAGGAAGGGAATAGGGGTTGGGTGTGTGAGTCCTGCCAGAACAGAGGAGTCCCAGCTTCACCCTCCTTCCCTCCCTGGCAGGTGAGGCTGTCAGCGTGGTGGGCTTCGGTGTCTTCGGCCAGGCTTGTGGGCCCTCGGTGACCTCGGGCATCCTGTCGGCTGTGGTACGGGTGGATGACACACCAGTGATGCTGCAGACCACATGCGCTGTGCACGGCGGCTCCAGCGGGGGACCTCTCTTCTCCGCTCACTCGGGGAACCTTCTTGGTAACTGGCTCCTTGGCCCTCTCCCACCCTCCCCCTTGCAGAGCCTCACTCCCACCCAGTGAGTGCTCGTATCCAGCCCGGGAGCACCCTCTGTCTGGGAAGGTGGTGCACCTTTTGAGTTAGGTAGCCAAGGTTTTCAGGCTGTTCTGCTCCTGAGGGTGGAGAGGGAGGGATGCTGAGCTGGGAGGGAAGAGGTCTGGGCCCTGGTCCCTTCTCTGCCACTAATCCATTCTGGGACCTTAGGTAAGTCACTTAATCTCATTTGATCTGTGAAGTTCAGGAGTTGGATTAGTCCAAGGATCAGAAACTCAAAAGCCTACAGAGGCTGGCAGGTGAAGCAATGAATGAGTGAGAGAAGACAACAGGGAGTGGGGGGCAGGTCAGTTAGACTGGGCACATGCTACTCAACTGCAGAGGATGGCGGCCTTGTCTTGGCTCATTTTCTAATATTTCACAAGAAGCTGTGAACCTTTTTTTTTTTTTTCCATATGTGGTGGTTAAATCTTTCAATTTTGGTAACATTCAGGTTTTTTAAAAAATAGAGTCTGAGGCCAGGCATGGTAGCTTATGCTGGTGATCCTAGCACTCTGGGAGGCCGAGGAGGGAGGATTGCTTGAGGTTATGAGTTCAAGACCAGGCTGAGCAAAAGAGACCCCGTCTCTACTAAAAATAGAAAATTTAGCCGGGTGTGGTGGCGCATGCCTGTAGTCTCAGCTACTTGGGAGGCTGAGGCAGGAGGATCGCTTGAGCCCAAGGTGTTGAGGTTGCTGTGAGCTACGATGACACCACTGGTACTCTAGCTGGGGTGACAAAGTGAGACTCTCTCAGGAAAAAAAAAAATTCCGTTTAGCTATTTAAAAAAAGCAAACCATGAGTCCATATAGAAACCTCCAGCTCCAGTCCAGCACTGCAGGGTTTGTGCCTTTGTTATTTCTAACTTTCCTCATTCCTTCTTTCTCCTGTAATGAGAAATGTTGCTCTTACTATCTATAACATATTAATATTTGCTTATCTCTTTAACCCTAGTATACAAATATAGTCATTTCAGAATTCCTACCCCATACCCCTGTGAGCAATAAATTTACCAACCAGAGTTCAGTGTCTGAGTATTTGTGTTCTTTTTGTCTTTAGCCTGACAGTGTCCAGTCTAAACACTGCTTTCCAAAGTTACTTAGGTCAGCTCCTTTCTTCCCCTTCAGGATGGTTGTATTACTCATTTGTAATAGTTAGAGTCATTTGTCAGTTTTTTCCCATGTCCATTTTTCTCTCCGTATCTGGGTTGACTTTTCAAACCATATGTACAGATAAGTGGATGCAGAAACACAGATGTGTGTGCATAAGTTAGTGTGTGCACACACACAGTCTGTCCACTGATGGGTTAGAAGCAGTGACACTCCAGTTGCCATAGTATACCCAGAGCCCAGACCTTAGTTTCTAAATACCATTCTCTAATAAAAGTGACCAGGAGCTGGTCGATTCCAGGACTGGGGCAGGGAAAATCCAGGATAAGCCTTGGGTGCCAGAGAGGACGCGGTAACAACAGAAGTGATGGGGCATGTCAGATGTTGACAGAACTGGGAGCCAACCTGGTGTAGCTCCTACTGGAACAACTTGACCAACAAAATGGATAACAATAGTGTTGGATTATAACTCAACAGAAAATGAATATCCATGAATCCACACTGATATAAATAACCAAATAAGTTTTTTTTATCTTTTTTTTTTGGAGACAGAGAGTCTGACTCTCTTGCCTGGGCTGGGCTAGAGTGCCATGGCATCAGCCTAGCTCACAGCAACCTCAAACTCTTGGGCTCAAGCGATCCTCCTGCCTCAGCCTCCCGAGCAACTGGGACTACAGGCATGAGCCACCATGCCTGGCTAATTTTTTCTACATATTTTTAGTTGTCCAGCTAATTTCTTTCTGTTTTTAGTAGAGACGGGGGGTCTCGCTCTTGCTCAGGCTGGTCTCGAACTCCTTAAGTGACCACTCCTTAAGTGATCCTCCCTCCTTGGCCTCCCAGAGTGCTAGGTGTGATCCACCACGCCCCGCCCAAATAAATTTAAAATGAAGACAAGCAACAGCCTTTCTGTTTCTGAGGGAAATAGAAAATCACCATTAGGATACCACAGTAGGAATTGCTGCAGACAGATCTACCCCTGGATGCAAAAGTTGACAAAAGTGGGCAAAAGTTTTAGTATAAACAGGATATTTGCATAACTTCAGACTATCTCCCCTAAAATATTTAGCACTTACAAAGAGGAAAATAGTAACTCTACAGTGGAGAGGCCTGGCAGATACCATGTGAGCCGAGTGACCAAGATTAGCAGCACGAGTGCCACATGTAGACATCGGATACCTAGACATGATGCATTGAGGACGTGAGGACATGTGGCTTTCAAGGAAAGCCTGAGGAAGCGGCCTAGATTGGAGACTTAGGAGACGTGACAGCTAAATGCAATGTGGGATCCTAGATTGGATCCCGAAACAGAAAAAGGACATCAGTGGGAAAACTTGTGAAATTGCAATGAATTCTGCACTTTGGTAAATAGTATGGTACCAAAGTTAATTTCTTGCTTTTGATAAATGTTTTATGGTGACATAAGACATTAACATAAGGGCAAGCTGCATGAAGGGTACACAGAACGCTCTGTACTTTTCAGGCAAGGCTTCTGTATGTCTAAAATTATCTAAAAGAAAAATACACATCAATGCACTGAGCAGGCCAGACAAAATGTATCTGTGGTCTCATTCATTCATTCATTCATTCACTCAGCAGGTCTGTCACGAGCCTGCTCTGTGGCTGGCGCTGGTCTGGGTACTGGGAGACTGCACGAACAAAACACAGAAGTGGAGCTGACACTAGTTGGAGAGAAAGATAACAGAACCAGTGAACTGTGTGGTGTGTTCAGTACTGATAGCGCTATGAGAAAGCACAGTCGGCACGGGGGCAGGGTTTGGGCAGCAGGTGTCCGTGATGCGAAGCTCAGCTCTGTCGCTGTGAGGGGGACCAGGGGGCTCCAAGGTGGAGCTGGCCCTCTTCCCTTCCCCATTTGGCTGTCTGTCCTCTGGCTCACGTCCTCTTTTGCTCTCTGACTCCTCAACAGGCATTGTCGCCAGCAACACCCGGGACAATAACACAGGGGCCACCTACCCCCACCTGAACTTCAGCATTCCCATCACCGTGCTCCAGCAGGCCCTGCAGTGGTACAGTGAGACCGGCGACCTGGGTGGCCTCCGACAGCTGGACCGTGCTACCGAGCCGGTCAGGGTGGTGTGGCGGCTGCAGCGGCCTCTGGCAAAGACCCCGAGGAGCAAGCTCTGAGGCTGTGTCACCCCTCTGGAAAGAAGAATGACCTTTTGATGCTGTAGGAAGCGATACCGAGGTGATGGTGACCTTAGGATCTGGGGCACACCCCGGCTCGGCTGCCTCCCTGTCTCCACCCACGGACTGCAGTTTGGGCTCTGGGCCCTGGAACAAACTTCTCTTTAGCCCCACGGGTCCTTAACCTGGCAGCCTGTTTTGGGGTGCTTTCTTGAGCCCCCACCTCTCTGTGTCCCTGGCACTGGACTCAGCTGTGTTGGTTTCCCTTCTGGGGAGCCCAGGCCCACTGCACAAAAGCTCTGGCCTGTCAGGCCGGTGCTGGCCAGAAGGCAGGTCCGGGCCTAGTTTCTCCCCTGTTCCCCCAGAAGCCACTGGCCACCGGGAGCAGCTGCTGCACTGGGGCCTTGGCTCCTGTCTGCCTCTCAGTCAGGGCTGATGGAGGACTCGGAATGCCTCCGCAGAGAGGCCCTGCCCTGAAGACCGGATATGAAAGGGCAGAAACAAGTGTCTCCCTGCTGTGCCAGACCTAGGGCAGGCGGGTCCCTGAAAGTCTGCACTCCTGGGTCTTTGTAGCCGACAGGAGCGCTCTGACACGGTGCCTTCGTTCCCAGCCCTGGGCCTCAGGGATCCCGGGGGTAGGACATGTCTGGTTGGGGCATAGGAATAAACGCAATCCACTGGAGAACCTCTGTATTTATATATATCAAATCCTTCCCCCCCTTTTTTCCAAGAGTTGAATCTGGAACAGGCAAGCACCAGGCAAAGAAACCACCTTCCTGTGCTGCTTTCTTGGCAGGGTTTGAGCTCACAGGATACTCTCTGCCCAGACTGGCCCTCACAGCTGATTGTGGCGCCAGTCAGTGCTTCGTGTAGCTTGCGGGTCCCAGAAGGTGGTGGTCTTGGCTTGGCAGCAGGTGTTCACAGAATACCCAGGGGAGGTGGGGGTTGGGAGTTTAAAGGGGAATGAGGCAAGGGCCACCCTCAGGAACTGAGCCCAACTCTTTGAATCAGGAATGTGCCGTGTGCCCAGGGTCCTCTGTATGCAGGCCCTCAAGAAATGATTTTCATCAGCAGGCTAAAAGCCATTTGAGGAATAGCTGGGGGTTAATTCTAAGCAGTACGTTGTTTCTAACTTCTATTTGTTGGTTGCCAACTCTGGGCATCCACAGAACAGTTCTGTGATGGTGGTTCTTCCCTTTACAGATTAGGAATGGGTCCAGAAGGCAAGGTTGGCTTGTGAGAAGTCCTACAATAAATTAATGGTAGCAGGGGGCTAGATCTGAGGTCTGACTTGGCTGGGGGTGGGATTTGTTCTGTCATGTGTGGGTACCAAGGCACCCACAAGCTATTCTGGGGAGACTGATGTGTCAACCCATTAGTGCAATGAACAGGGCAGCTCTGCCCATAGAAGAGTGTGTATGGGGGCCCAGAGTTGGGGATCAGGTAAGGTTTCATCAAGGTGACTCAGGTGCTGAACCATGAAAGAGTTGAAGGTTTACCAAGTGGACTGGAAATGGGGAAGGTGTTCCAGGCTGAGAGCAGCAGGAGCTAGGACAAGGAAGTGTGGAACCACATGCTGGTTCTGAAGGTGCTAAGTAGAGAGAACATTGGAAAGGAGAAAGACTGAGGCCCAGGGACCAGTTATGATGGCTTTGGTGACAGAAGATGGCTAAGGCAGGACAGGTGGGTGTGGGGAGATCAAGGGAAAACACAGGAGGTGGAACTAAGTGGATGTGGGGCCAAGGCAGAGAGAATGGTCCAGTGGTGCCTGGATTTCAGGCTGGGATAACAGTGGGGTGACTGACAAGTTTAGGGGTTTGGGACCTCAAGTGCAGAGGTACAGCTGGCCGTTAAATGAGTGAGTTAGGATAATGCAGAAAATGATACCCTCCCCCCATCTCAGTGGCTTAAGGCAATAGAAGGTTGTTTATTACTCAAGTCCAGAGTCCTATCGGGAAGTACTTCCCAAGAAAAGAAGGTTGGCTCTTGTACAAATAGTTATTGAGGGACCCAGGCTCCTTCCCTCTTGTGGCTCTGTCATTGAGGCTGGGGCCTCAGAGTCCTCTGCCTGGTCTTCTGTACCTGGCTGGTGGATGGGGGAAGAGAGAGAGGAGAAGATACACCTGCTGCTTTTTAAAAATAATTTTATTCTGAAACAATTTCAAACTCATAGAAAAGTTTCAGGAATGTCCATACACCCTTCACCCAGAAATCCCCATCCAATTTCACCAAGCGTCCCAGTGCTGATCTAATTTGGGATCACGAGCTGCACCCACTTGCCGTGTTCTGTTGTCCCTTGACTTGGAACAGCTCCCGTCTCTCCTTGTGTTCCACGCCCTTGACCTTTCTGAAGATAACAGGGCAGTCATTTCATAGAATGCCCCTTAACTTCGGTTTGTCCAGTCTTCCTCAAGATTAGATTCAGGATCTGCATCTTTGGCAGGTTGACCACAGAAGCGATGTCTTTTTTATCCTTGCATCCTCTTGGGTAGCACACGATGCTTCTTTGTCCCATCACAGATGATGTTAACGTTGCTTACTTGAGTAAGATGGTGCCTGCCAGAATTCTCTACTATGAAGTTCCTTTTTTTCCTCTGTAATAAGTAATTTGTGTGGAGATGCTTTAACAGTCTGTAAATATACCGTTCCTTATTCAACTCTCACGTACTAGGCTTACCATCCATGGATGTGTCTTGGCTGAATAGCTATACTGGCTGCCAAAAGTAGTTTTCTATTTTCATCATTCCTCCGGCATTTATAAGGTGGCATTCTACTGTAGGTAAGAGCTTTCTCTTCTCTCTGTTTGTTTATATCTGGGTGGATTCATGGATTTGTACTTTATTCAGTGGTTATAATCCATTGTCATTTATTTCGATGCTCAAATTGCTCCGTATCAGGTCAGGGGGAGCTCCTCCAAACCAGCTTCCGTGTCCTTTTGACACATTCGTTCTTTGAGCACTTCCTACACAACGCAATGGTCTACTTTGTGTTTTTCCTGGAATTGGCTATTTTTCCAGGGTTCTTTTTAGTAGAGAGCAGTATTTAGAAGCCAAGGTCTCAGCACTAGGTGTGCTTACTGTACTGGGTGTCACTGCTCCTAGGCCCTCTCCGTGGACAGACCTTCGCTTCTATATTTATTTCAGTCACTTTCTATACATTGTTAGGCAGAAGTTCACACCAATAGTTTCAATTTGGATTCATTATCACAATAGCTTTTCCCCATTTTGTATTTGTACCTCCTGTCCATCAGAGAGAAACCTGGCTTCCTTATCCTCAAGGTATCTACCTGTTTGCCCCCCGCTCATGCCTTGCTTGTGGCCGGTCTCCCGACCTCCTGCCCAGCCCCCCTGCTCTGACCCTGCTCTTGCCCCGGCCTCCGTTACTGCTCCCCTCAAGGCTGCCCAGTGAATTTTTTTACTTCATTAGGAAGAGGGAAGGAAGCCACCCTCAATTCTTCTTTTTTTTTTTGAGACAGAGTCTCACTCTGTTGCCCTGGCTAGAGTGCCATGGCATCAGCTTAGCTCACAGCAACCTGAAACTCCTGGGCTCGAGAGATCCTCCTGCCTCAGCCTCCTGAGTAGCTGGGACTACAGGCATGCGCCACCATGCCCGGCTAATTTTTTCTCTATATGTTTTTAGTTG